GACCGATCGACACAACGTTGTATTGGAGGAGAGAGGAGGCATGTCGCCAACCACGTGCTGTGCACGGTGCTGTCGCTTCGCCTGCGGTCGTCGATTATGAACAGCATCAAGGACGCCAGCAACCGGCCACAGAACATGCTCGACAACAACTGACAAGCACATCCATCGTGGCTTCTGTCACAGACACAAGAGGCCGTGGAAATTCAGAGAGAACGACGTCGACCGGCCATAAGACGGGCATTGACAACTAGGCGGCCCGCTATTTTAGCCTCAACAGCGTGACGGTTAAAAGGTTGTTTCGAGGTAAGGGAGAGCAGACTGCCTTATGCCTTGCCATGACGAGGGCATGGTTGTGCATTCCAGCGTGCTATGAACAGGGGGCAAGACAGCGGGGAACAGGGGCGGCTGATGAGCTTTCGCGGGGACCCACGAGCTACCGTTGATCAGGCATGGTCATGTCCCAGTAAGGTAGCCTTATCCTTACCTTGCTGTACCTTACCTGAGCTTGCTGAGCTTGCTGAGGCACAGTACAGTGTGGCCGTCCACATCCACCCCTGCGGCGCGGGACGGGTCGGCTTGGCACGATCCTGGACACCTTTGGTGATCCTCTCAGCGGTGCCCCCCTCTCCCTCTCTCTCTCCACTGGCCCACCTAACTTTCGGTACCTTAGGTAGCTGGGTACGCATAACGGCCGCTGAGATTCAGTCAGTCCTCACTCGTCAGTATTCACCCAGCATTCAGCCGGTCGCTCCGTTGCGACATGCTGCTCAGGCGTTATCTTCACGAGCTGTCAGAATCGTCGGGGAATCGGACTCGAGATTATCCTCGACGCTAGCGAGTTTGCGCAAGCGACTATAGCTTCCCCGCCTGGCTCCACGTCAGTCACAAAGCCATCCAGCTCTGGGCACATCTGAACAAAACCGAAACAACTCGAGCACACTTCTCATCACCAAGGGGCTCACTCGGTGCTTTCGTTTTCGTCCCAGCAGAGGCCACGTCATAAAACCGTTGAGTACGCCAACGGCAAGGCTAGCGACTAGTTCAGTCGCGGTGCATCTGTCGCATAAACCCCCTCCCCTTTCCTGCGGGTTCTGCGAGGTCTTTTTCCCACAAAGTGCACACACGGATGACTTCCGCGGCCCGCCTACTGTGGGCTCGGTAGGCACCTCGACGTCTTCGGACAACTGCGCCTGCACAGTGTCCCGGCAACTGACAGGGCCTTACCCCTTACATCCTAGCACCCCAGACCTGGAGGGAGACCAGGAACCCAGCAGCGCCCAGGAAGGGGAAAGGCCAGCCGTTTTTTTCGCTTCCCGCATCTGCGATCTTGCTCGTACTCTCTCGCACACGGTTCGGGAGATTGACCTTCGTACCTACATCGCCATCAGCTGCGCCGACCGAGACAGCCACGGAGACACACCCTGACGCTCATTGCCCGTCCCAGACACGCCTTCCGACCTCCCGGCCAGTGTCGTGAGCGAGACCATGCCCAGGGCGAAGACGCCAGCCAGCCCCGGCGTCGTGCCAGGCAAAGTGAAGAAGAAGGGCCAGGGTCAAGCCATTCAGACAGCCGCGTCCATGTCCACATCCGCGTCCTCGTCCGCATCCACGGCGGCCACGGCGAGCTCCAACGCCCCACCGCCTGCCTGGCCTCCGTTCAAGCCAGCCTTGCCCGTGACGGACCTGCTCCCTGAGCCTCTCGAGCAGTGCCCCGACAAGGTTGTGCTGCTGCCCAATTTCTGGCCCAAGTCCCTCTGCAACACCTTTGTTGCCTTTCTACGGGGCCTGGCGCTCGAGACAACGCCCGGTGGCCGGCCCAAACGAAACATGGCCGCTCGCGTCAACGACCGCTTCCAGGTTGACGATCCTGCCTTTGCCCGTCGTCTCTGGCTTGGTACCGGCCTTCGTGACGCCCTGCAGCGGGAAGATGTCAGAGCACTCTGGTCAGTCGAACCCGTTTTCTCCTCCCCGTTCCCTTTTTTCATTTTTCCAGAGGTCATCAGCATCCTCACTTATGTGGTATCACACACCTTGATGCCGTCATGCTCACGCTCCTCCACTGCCCCCACGCTGCTGCTGCTGCTGCTGCCGCTGCCGCTGCTGCACGGGGCGCCACCAGTCAGCCTTGGACTGGCTGCGCCCTCCAGAGGACATGGGTTTTGCCATTGACAGTATCCAACCCACGCTCGGCATCGGCATGGCTCCCAACCCGAGACTCCATTGGGCCTGTTGACGAGAAAATCCTTGCTGACCAGTTGCATATTGTGTCACAGGGGTGGTGACGTTGTTGGGCTCAACTCCAACATCCGCGTCTATCGCTACACGAAAGGACAGTATTTTGACGCTCATTGTAAGTATAGTACCTCGTGTCTCACTTGACTCCCGATGGTGCTGTCATTTATGCACGCCATGTCCCATTTCAGACGATCCCGAGCGGCACGCCGCCCGTCCGCCACGAGAAGAACACGATGACGACGACCCATGCCACGAGGGGCACGATGGGTGCGATGGCCATGGGGAAGTCGTTATCGGGGGGGTCGCGTCCAGGCTGAGCGTCGGAGCCGGACTCGCCCTCCGCAAGTACGGGCAAGCGCCGCAGTGACGGGATCAGCACCAGCTGAAGGGCCGGTCCGGCTGTGATCGAGCCGGGTCAATGGTGCTTGAAGTCTCCGCTTCTCGCGACCGTCGCCTGACTAGACGGGCTCCAGTGGCCAAAAAACCCAGAAGCGAGCTCCCCAACCATCTGAGATCTGATTGTTCGACCGACTAGTCCGCTGGCTCCCCACCACCAAGTCGGCCGAGTCACCGATCTCAAACCCCTGTCATGTTGATTGTCCAGCGAAACCCTCGCTCCAACAATCTCCGATGCAACCAGAGGAGCGATACGGAGCTCAATCCGAGAGGGTCGATCCCTCGCCATCATTGGTTCTGCTTCTACGTACCCAAGGCTTCATTCCAGCGATCGAACGCCAGACACCCAGTACCGAGAGGCCTTCACACCAAGACATTCAGAGCCTCCACCCACCCACCCACCCACACACACACACACACAACCCACACATCGTCAACCCACTCGTTGCACGCAGCCTCATACCTTTCAGCTTCTCAAGGATGTCGCTCTCATTGTGATGAACGATGACAAGGCTCGCTTCGCCGTGATTCTTAGCCCATCAGCTAACAGACTTTGTCCCTGTCAGATGATGATTCGAACAACGTTGTGGTCCCCGCCGACGACCCTTCGCTACCCCCCATTCCCTGCATCACCACCTGGACTCTGCTGCTCTACCTGACGACGAGCTCCGACTCTGAATCGGCGGGCTGCATCGGCGGCGAGACTGTCTTTTTCCCACACGATCGACGAGTATCTTCTGAGGAAATATCAGTACCGCCCTTGTCGGGGCTGCTGCTGCTGCATAAGCACGGCAAAGACTGCATGCTGGTGCGTTGTTTGCTTCTTCTTCTCTCTCTCGCTCTCTCTCTCTCCCTCATTGCATTTACATGCCTCCTATTCTCACTTGTTTGCTCGCACGGCGCCGTCAAACACAAGGTCTGGACCGGCGTCTGCGGCAGGCCGTCCCGTCCCGCGCCTAGACTCCTCCAGCCAGCACACCAGCTACCACGCCTCGGTCGACTATCGTGCCCTCAAGGCGGTGGCACGACTTAAAGAAGAACCTTTGGCGCGGTCGAGAACACGCATTTCTAGCAGTGTCTCGTGTGTGCCGTGTTTCGCAAGCGCACCACTCTCCTCACAAGAGGCGTGCGGTGGGTGTGG